CCCACCCCCCCCAAAAAAAGAGTGTAATGGGCTTTCCAGCCAACATTGTCTTCAAACCTCCATTCTCAGATCTTAGTGTCCTGAGCAGCTAGGATTACAAGCATGCACCACAGGAACCCAGCTTCAAGAATTGTTTTTAATACACTATGTAGAAAATGAACTGTGCAACTTGTGGACAGAGAAGGGGGCTAGGGGTGTACATGTGGCGGGGGGTTGGAGGGTAGGACTGGGGGAAAGTGAAGGAAAGGGTGACATTGTCCAAAAAAGAAATGCACTCATTACCTGACTTCCTAAATGGTAACCCTTATATCAAGGTAGTAACAATAAAATTATATTTAAAAAAGAAAAGCAAATGGGGGGCTGGAGTATAGCCCAGGCAATAGAGCATGAGCCTACCAAGCCTGGGACCTAGAGCTCAAACCCTAGTACTGCCCCCACAGAAAACCATAAAAATGTATTACATAGTGTCAGAAACTATTTACAAAGCTTGATGTATTATGTTATATGTCAAGACCAAGGATTGTTTATTCTTTTGGGTTTTTTTTGGTTAGTTGTAAGACTTGAACTATGGGAGTGGGCGCTGTCCCTGTGCTCTTCAGCTCAAGGCGAGCGCTTTACCACTCTGCCACAGCGCCACTTCAGGTTTTCTAGTGGTCTCCAAGGTAAGAGTCTCAAGAACTTTCCTGCCCAGGCTGGCTTTGAACCATAATCCTCAGATCTCAGCCTCCTGAGTAGCTAGGATTACAGGCATGAGCCACAGGTACCTGGCTAAGGATTGTTTCTTCTTAAACGATTAAGTTGGAATTTCTCTAAAAGACACATGGACCATATACCTTATAAAAAAAAAAAAACAGTGAAGCAAACCTTTCTTTTAATAATAGTTGCTTAAAAATTACTTGAGAATGATTAAAACCTTTTTTTGGCCACAAATGCCATTATACATATAAAATACTAAGAATCCCAAAGTAAAGTGTACAGCAAGGTTTCTCAACCTAGGTACTATTTTTTATTGTAGCTCAGGCAATCCTTCATTATTAGACCTATCAGTGCCCTATAGGAGATTCAACAATATTTCAGGCCTCTTCCCCAGTGGCTGCTGATCTTAACAATTAAAAATATTTTAGTATTGCCAAGTGTCCTCTGCAGGAAAACATGGGACTACCTGATAGTGTTATAGAGAAAATGTTTTCCAAATCATTGTTTCATCAGGACTATTTGATTATAAACAATATGTTTACAAACAATTTAAGAATGGTTACATTTCTAAACTTTTTTTTTTTTTTGGTTGGTTGTGGGGCCTGAACTCTGGGCCTGGGCGCTGTCTTTCAGCTCTTCAGCTCAAGACTAGCACTCTACCACTTGAGACACAGGGTCACTTCCAACTTTTTCTGCTTATGTGGTACTGAGGAATCAAACCCAGGGCCTCATGCATGCAAGGCACGCACTCTACCACTAAGCCACTTTCCCAGCCCCTCTAAACTTTCTTTTAAGTTACTGTGGGAAACAAAGTATAAGCTATCAACAGATCATATTATCTTTAATGCCCCTCTTAAACCCTCAAGAGGATTGAGCAGGGCAGAGTATTAATAGCTTCTATTTAAGCCTATCTATGGGCTAGGTACAATTCAAAGAACTTTATGTTCACTCTCCCATTTTATATCCATGACATCTTCATGGAAATGATATTAAGTCTACTGTGGTTCAAAATAATTTTAAAGTCTACTTTCATTAATCCATCACAGTATTTCTAGATATATTTATTACTCACGTTGTTCTCTCTGGCACTAAAGAATAGAGAGTACCTTAAGTTGTCCAGGAATTAGGGAAATGTGCATAGCACCTAACAAGTCAGAAAGACAGTAATGATCTGTTTCCTACTTTTCACAACTACAACATAATGAAAGAGTACTTTTTAAATGCTTTATCCCTGATTCCTAGCATGTATTAGGAGCTTTTTCTTTGAACCCATTTGCCTCCCTCCTCCAAAATTTATAATTATTAGAGGTCAGTAGATACTGAGGACAAAATTCAAATCCCAGCTTATGTACCTCAAATATAAATTCATGGCCTGTTTTCAACTTTGTAACTTCATCCTTCAGCTTAGGAGTTAATAGGTTCTCAGTAAAAGCTACTTTTATACTGCTTACCTTAGTAAAGCAAATACAGTGTACATCAAGGGCCAATTATACTTGAGCAATTTTTGAGTCTAATAGCAGGGAACAAGGAAAGGCCCATCTTTATACTGTCTCCAGTTTTATTTTTCCTTAATAATAAAGACACAAAAACTTTTCCTCAAAAGAAGTGTTCCTCTTTTCATTCACTTATACAAGATATATTCTTACTTCCCTCCAAGGAAGGCAATAAATTGGAGTTCTCCTCAATACCACTAGGCTAGATATGTAATTTGTTTAGTTACCTATCCAAGTATAAATTATACATTTTATATACTCATGATTAAGCAATTTACTAATGAATGAGAATCACATAATATAACCCTTCATAAATATTAAGAAATCAAATCTTTAAAAAGGGAACAATTATTTGGAATTAGGTTATATAATTCACTGTTTCCCTTATTCAAAAGAGAATTACTGTATTAGTATTCTAACAAGTAGAAAACAATATCCAACTAATAAAAATAATTCTTTGAACCCATCTAAAAGTTTAAATGTTTAAAAAAAATCGCAAAGCTTACCTGGAAGGATGAAGTAGAATAGGAACCCAAAGACCAGATCAACTGATAATAATAGAGTATTAAAAATATGTATTGAGGTAAAAGCTGGCTCTATAAAGTATGCTGTATAATTCAACTCACTCATAACTTTTTTTGGTGGGGGGGAGGGGTAAGGAGAGGTTGGGACCAGGATTTGAGGTCTAAACTCTGAATTCTCAACTTTTTCCATTCACAACTGGCATTCTACCACTTCAGCCACACCTCTAATCCAATTTACAATTTTTGTTTTTTTGTTGTGCTTTTTTGCAGTACCTAAGTTTAAACTCTGGTTTTGTACTTGCTAGGCAGACACTTTACAGTCTGAGCCCCTCACTCATAACTTAATGGTACAAAAGTCTATAGATCTTCTTGTTCAGTTTTATTTCCTTAGATATTCTGGAGGTATAATTTTATAAAATAGTCAAGTTCACTTGTTCATAAAATATTTTACTACCAATAATCACACATTGGTTTTGGTTTTTTGTTGACTGATCATCCTTGTGCTTAGGCCTCACAGAGTGCAAACATAGGCTAAATTTGTTCTTAAAATTGATTTTAAGAAGCAAAATAATAGCTAAAAGTTCTCAGAAATGTTCTAGTATGCAAATAAATTTCAAATTCAGTAATAAAGGGATAGTAGATCAAGTAAATTTTTAAATCTTATAAAAAATGGGCTGGAGGTGTAAGCTTGTGACAGAATCTAGATCCTAGGTTCAACTCCAATATTAAAAAAAAAAAGTAATACAAAGTCAAGTTAGTGATATAAAAGGCAAAAGAGAAAAATGCAAAAATATTTTTGCCCCTGAATATGTTCAAAATACTAATTGTATACTAATTTTCAAAGCTTAAAATTCCTGTAGATACAAGTCTATACCAATAAAACGGTTTCTAAATCTACAACTTAAAAGTTCTGATAACACAGAGCTTCAATAAATGCCAATTATCAAATTAAAAACTAATATGAGAAAGTAAATGAAGAGCATTAAGAGAACCTGATCCACTCTTTATACCAAGTCAGTTTCAGCCTTGAAAATATCAACTTCATCATTTTTCCTTCCATGTTTGAAAGGCTTAAAACGAACTGTCAGCAAACACGGTGCCCATTTGTTGTTAGCTTTGCTTCATACTTGTGACCAGAATGTAATTAATAGCTAAGTTACATAAACTCTTTATATATTTATCCAAGTGAGGAAAAAAAGCTATCTTACTTGACAGAAGAGAAAACTCACAAAGATTAGCTAAGTAACGTTGCAAAGTAAGCTGCTAAAAAGAGGTGAAGCCAGGATTTAAACCCTATATATCCAAGATATTAATTTTAAGAGGGGTGGGATGAAAAAGTTTCTTTTTGTTCAAAAAGGTTTTCAAAACAAGTGTGGTGAATGAAGAAACGGACATTGTAAATGTGTGTAGAGCTTTACACAAACTTGACTCCTGAACAGGTGGATCGGTATTCCATTTGGCTACGCTAGAAGGACACCTAAAAGTAAAGGCGGTACAGGAAGTAATTCACCGTCACTCAACACTGAAATTTACCTGAGAAGACCACTGGGTACTTTAAAGAATGGGCGGGGTGATGTAACCGGGGCGAGAGTTTAAGGAAAAGGACTTTCCGAGGTGCAGTTCGTAAACTCTGCGAGCCAGGGGGCTGGAAAGACGACTATCAAACTCGCTGCTACCACCCCACCTCCGATTTAAAAATAACTAACTAACTAACTGCGGTTCAGCGCCAAAGCCAAAGGAGGGACCGGCACCTCGGAATTCGGCGAGGGGATGACAGGAGCCCCTGGCCGCGGGGGAGGGGTGCCGATGACAGGAGAGGAGGCGGCAGCCACAGGGCACACCTCCCACCCCGAAAAAGAGGGGGGGCGGGGGGCGGGAAGGAGTGGCAGAAAATGCTGCCGGAGCTTCCCAATGAAGTGAGGAGGACGGGGTGCGGAGCCTGAGAAAGGCGGGACCCCCGGGCAGGACGGGGGGTGTCTGCCGGGCCAGGGGAGGACCTCCGGACACAGCTGGCCGGCCGGCTGACCCCTCTCCCCAGCTTCCCAACCTCCACAAACTCACTTTTTCTCAGCAGCCCCAAGTCCACAAGTCACCGGGTCCCGCTCCGCGCCTCCCTCCCCACCGCAGATCGGTGCAGCCCGAGGGGGCAGGGGGCTCCCCTGCACTCCCCGCGCCCCGCCGGGGCGTCGAGCGCCGGACGCAGCCCGGACCCGTGAACCGCCAGGCCGGGAGACGCCGAGAGGCCCAGGACCCGGTGACAAGTCGGGGCGGCCGACGGGCGCCTCACCTGACAGAAGCGTCGGCAGTAATCCCGACTGCTGATCCCGACGCCGCCGCCGCAGCTGCCGCGGCCGGAGCAGCCCCTGCCGTCGCCCACAGCTCGGAGCCCGACCGGGCCAGGCGGGGACTCCACAATGGCCACAAGCTCTTCTCCGAGGCGCTCGGCCTCTTGGTCGCTCTCTTCCTCCGCCATGAGGCTCTCGCCGCCCAGCGCGTACCAGCCCCTGCGCCGCCGCCGCCGCCGCCGCCGTCGCTGCCTCGGCTAACCTCCTCCTCCTCCTCCTTCAGTTCCCTCCCCTTTCCCCCGCCCCAGCCGGACAGGGGCCGCTCGGCTGGGCGCTACTTCCGGCTCCGCCCACCCACGCCCCCCGTTCTTGTTGGAGGAGTTTGGCTGCCAATCACAGTCACGCCCGCCCTCCTCACGCTATTGGCCAAATCGGACGTCTGCTTGTGAGACCCCGCGTCTGTTGGTCGCTGTAGCTCGGCGGTTGCTGAGGACCGCCTACGAGCTCTGCCATAGGCGGTGCGGGAGGACGGGGCGCGGCGGGGGACACGGCAGCCGCCGTGGGGCTCGTTCGGGCGACGGCGGCGGCAGCGGCGTCTGGTCCTCCTCCCTCAACCCCTTGCTCCTCCTTTCCTTCCCCTCCCTTTCCTTTCCAGCCAGGCCTCGTCTAGTCTCCCTCACAGCGGCCCCGATCCTACGGTACCGAGGAGCTAGGGTAGCCGTGGGTGGGCCTGGCCGTTGGTGTGGGTTGTGGGCCCCGGGCCTTCAGTCCCGGAGCGGGAGCCGGGGGCGGGGCCGGGACGCCGTTGTCGGCGGGAGGAAGAGGGAGGGGACGGGACGGGGCGCCTGACAGTGGCCGCCTCCGCCTGGCGCCTGCCGCCAGCCGCCTGCCGCCGACTCCCCGGAGACCGCCGCCAACTCGGCGAGTTCTCGGGCCCAGAGCCGGAGACCCAGACGCGGGCCTGCCCAGCCGCCGGGGTCGGAGCGGTGGGGCGCCACCTTGCCGATCCCGGCGCGGGAGGAAGGCGGCGAGACGCCACGGGCGCCCTGCGCCCCGCCTCTCCCCCACCCACCCCCTCTCCCGGGCCTGGGGCCCGCGCGAGGGCACCTCGCCGCGCCGACCGTCGGGGAGGAACGGGGTGGGAAGGGGGGGGGACGGGAGGAAGGCGCCGACGAGATTTGGGGTGTGGACACCTGTGTGGAGGCTGTTGGTATTTTCAACCACCCTCTCCCTCCCCTCCCCCATTTTCCTCTCCGTTTGTTTTTTCCTATTTTACAGTAAAGGCATGATTTCCCGGCACCGCAGGGAAAACAGGGTGCAAGCCCAGAAACTACTTTCCCACCACCACTTGTTGAAAAATTGATTGGAAGGCATCTGCGGGTTTGAACTAGCGTCGAAGTGCCCTGATTTGGTGCGTTTCGTTTTTAAACTGAAGAATCTTGACTACTTAAGTTATCAAGAAGAAAAAAAAAAACATAAACTGGAAACTAATCCGGTAAACATGTAAGCTTCAAAACTTCTGATGAATTTCATTTGCTGTAGTAAATTACTGCTTCTCTTTTGTTGGCAAGTTCCGGGTCTTAACTTTTGAACTTCCTCATTTGTTTAAAATATCTTTTGTGAAAACACCTTTGTTCTTTGGGTATGTAGCTCTGTAAACTGGAGCATCTAGCTACTTGCCCTTCGCAGTTACACGAACAGACTTTTTTAAAAAAGTTTTTCAGGGGCTGGGAAGGTGGCTCCATGGTAGAGTGCTTGCCTTGCAAGTATGAGGCCCTGGGTTCGATTCCTCAGCACCACATAAGCAGAAAAAATCGGAAGTGGCACTGTGGCTCAAGTGGTAGAGTGCTTGCCTTGAGCTGAAGAGCTGAGGGACAGCGCCCAGGCCCAGAGTTCAGGCCCATGACTGACAAAAAAAAAATAGTTTTGCAAATTAAAATGCTTTCCCATTAGCAGAAGTATTTGAGTTTCAAAGAAATATACTTGGTTCAAGATTTGAAATCCAAATATTTGAGCACAGAATGCTTTCAAATAGAAAGTGAAATTTAAGTATTACCAACATACTATTAACTTACAGACAGACATGTAATGATAGTTCACTAAGTATTAGGCAAGGATCATAACTTTTCTGCCATTACAAATCTGACAAAATGAGAGCTGTGCATGAAAAGAAAAAGTGATAAGAACAATTTAAACATATTAAAACTTAGACTTCTGTGCTTTACAGAATAATTTTGTGAATTGTTAAAGCGTCCTTGTTTGAGTCCACATGTATTCAACACATTGATAATTTAAAGCTCATTTGACAGAAATTTAATGTTACCCAGATACCCTCTACCATTGATTAATGCAATGAAGTAGAATATTCACATTGCTTGTAATTGCACTTATTTACTTCTTCATAATATACTTAAGAATCTTTTGCTAACATATTAGACTTTCTACTTTGAATTAGCTTAAATCTTGGTTTAGTTTAGCTCAAAGACATCACCCCAAGAAAAAGTTAAGACTTAACTAATCATTTGTCACTAACAAAGAAGATTGTTTTTTAGTGCATGTAATATTACAAAATTGACTTAGTCTATAACTTGTCTCTGAAAGAAGCTCTTTTAAACAAGAGCACATATCTAAATTGGATATTAATGTAATTAATACTTGACCTGTTGTAATATTTTTCTGAAAGATTGTTTTAATTTATTTGAATGTCATGAAAGTCAAAGAATGGACCGAGTTATTCCTAATTTACTCTAGGTTTGTCTTCCCTTAAATGTTTTAGATAAGATTTGATAGACAAATGTCTTACCAATTTGAATTAAAGGTTTTTTTGTGTTTTTTTTTCTTTTTGTGGTACAGAGAATTGAGTGCATTTATTTAAAATATTTAGTCCTCTTTTTTTTTCTTTTTTGCCAAGGTTGGGACTTGAACTGAGAGCACAGGCACTGTCCCTAGCTTCTTTTTGGTCAAAGCTAGTACTCTACCACTTGCGCCACAGCTCCACTTTTGTCTTTTTTAGTAGTTAATTGGAAATAAGAATATCAGGGACTCTCTGCTGCTTTGTCTGGCTTCTAACCCTGAGTCTGAGATCTCAGCTTCCTGAGTGGTTTAGGATTATAGGCATGAGTTACAGGCTTCTGGCTGAAGTCTTTAATCTTTAATATTATTTTAACTACTTCTAGAATGAAATATAAATATATATGTATGTATCTTTTTTTTTTTAAAGAACTTTACTAAGAGTCAGAAATGGAACGGTTTGTAGTAACAGCACCACCAGCTCGAAATAGATCTAAGACTGCTTTGTATGTGACACCCCTGGATCGAGTCACTGAGTTTGGAGGTGAGCTTCATGAAGATGGAGGAAAACTCTTCTGCACTTCTTGCAATGTGGTTCTGAATCATGTTCGCAAGTCTGCCATTAGTGACCACCTCAAGTCAAAGACTCACACCAAGAGAAAGGCAGAATTTGAAGAGCAGAATGTGAGAAAGAAGCAGAGGCCCCTAACTGCATCTCTTCAGTGCAACAGTACTGCACAAACAGAGAAAGTCAGTGTTATCCAGGACTTTGTGAAAATGTGCCTGGAAGCCAACATCCCCCTTGAGAAAGCTGATCATCCAGCAGTTCGTGCTTTCCTGTCTCGCCATGTGAAGAATGGAGGCTCCATACCTAAGTCAGACCAGCTGAGGAGAGCATATCTGCCTGATGGATATGAGAATGAAAATCAGCTTCTCAACTCACAAGATTGTTGACAAGGAGGTTATCACCTTTGTGATCAAGATAAATAATGTTGAGTATTAAAGTTATGTGTTGATTGTGTGGTTCATTTTTATATTTATTTCATTTAAAATCATGTGATGCAGAATAGTTTTGCATTGTGTATATAGTTGCAGGAAAACGAAAAGATCTCATTGCAAAACTTACTGTTAATTTTAGTCACCAATGGTATAAAGCAAAACTTAGGTATAGAGTGTACTAGGACACGTGAAACCTGACAGTTATCTTTAAAATTGATGGTTTTTCTCCTGAAATGTTTATGCATGGAAGAACTGCCCACTTTTAATGCTATTGCCATGTATGATTATTTCTTGTGAGATTACTTATCTGTATTGAAGACTAGCCTATAAAACTGAAGCTGCTGCCAGGCAACACCATTCACAGTAGCCTAATGGCATTATTTCTAATCAGATGATCTTTTAAATGGAAAAAGGTGAGAAAACTGTTCTACTCTCTCAAAACCCTAGCAGAAATGACTGTTTATTCCAAACTCTGGTATGTGCATATAAATATTCTTCAGTTCCTCACTTGTCTCTTCCATCTCCCATCCCCCTTTTAAAGACTTACTGTATTTACTAGCAGCTTCTAGTGACCAAAAGACTTAAACTCATAATGTCAGTGCCAAAAGCCATGGGGAATTAACAGTGATGAGATTTTAGTTTCTTATTTTGAACACAAATTTTTGAGCCATCACTTTCATTTTAAGCATCATCTTGAATATGCAAACTTTTTTGTCTTGGTATTGAAAAGGACTGTAGGATTACTATTTAGAAACAGGTATTTTTTGGTTGAGTTTCCTCATAGTTACTTTTTGGCTGACAGATCAAATAAGAAAAACATCCTATACATTTTTTTTCCATGAGTTTATTTAGATAAATAGAAACAAGTTATGCTTTCACTTTTCTCTGCTTTGCCTCTGATGGTACAAGGTTTTGAACATAAATGGTAAATAGGTGTCTTGAAAAATCTGGCAAGATTATTGTACTGAAAATGTAGCAGTGTCTAGAACCACCTGTTTGAGTGAACAAATAATCAGTTCTGTTCACAGTCAACCATGTTCAGCAAATGATCTCTGAGCCTCACTGCTCACTAAGGTTACTATGGTCGTAGTTTCGCCCAGTTATGTCCTCTCCATTAGAGATCCAAGCTATATTGTTCAGAATTGTGACATCTGAAAACTGAAAACTAGAATATTAGCTGAAAAACAATATTTGACAACATCCAAGTTTAAAATACTTGTATATTTCTTTGATAAAGCAGCAATGGTGATGTCCTATATGACTTGGAGTTATTTTTGAGGTTATTTTGTCACAATCTTTTTTTAAAAAACCAAAGTGGATAAGAAAAATTCTTTGAAAGCAATTTTCCTGTCTTAAATGTCTTTATAGACATAAGTTCCTAACAAGTTGTTAATGAGGCCACCTGATTTTAGATGTTGCTTTTAAGAAGCCTGCTACCAAAAAAAAAAATCACTTGTCAAAATTTGAAGTTTCACATTTTTTCTCGTACTTTGTTAAAGTAGCACAGTATATGCCTAGAGTTGTGCTGTTATTTTTAAGCATATGCATGAGGAGCCCAGCAGCAAAACAACCAAAATTATTGTGCAGGCAACCATGTTTAAATTATCTAAGATAATAGAATATCTAAGAAGAAAATAATTGAGTTTATAGCACTATTTTCAGAATAAAAAATATGATTAGATAATCATTCTAGTTTTTCAAAATTCCCTAAGATTTAGACTGATCGTTACTGTATTTTTTTAATTTGCACTACCAGTAAGTACGTGTAGTGGAAGAATGTTCAGTAGCCCATTAAGTTGGTTGATATTGCACTAGGAAACCTTCAGTAATTCACGTTTGACTTTCTAGTAGTTCTTACTGTTCTGATGATCATTTAATCTCTATATATCTTGCATATTTTTCCAGACTTCTAACTATTCCCACATTGGCCATATCTAGGGGCATAGTCTTGTTAGGGTTTATATCATGTCCTTAGGATGAGCTTTCCATCTTGTGGTGGGGTTAATGTTTCTTTGCTGATTATGAAACTCATTTCCTGGAACGGATTAACTTTGCCTTATAGGCTAAGTAAGAAAGTGATTGGTTTAGCCTGCTCAAACTGATACAAATACATAGAACCTTGATTGGCAGTGTTAGGTAGCAAATGAGAATGACCAAGAAAGAGGTTTAGTGAATATGTGTACAGACACTCTCAATCTTAACTATATAGTGTTAGTGTGATGCTATACTATTGGAAAATAGCAACTTCTTTTTCTGATTTATAAGTTGTATACATAAACATAAGATTTGTACTGTTTCATTTATAAACTGCCTTTGACACAAGCTTACCTGTTAATAGTGTTTTCTCAAGATACAGTAGTATGTCTTCCAGAATTTCAATATGTGCTTACAGTAAATAGTTCATAGCTTGTTGAAATGTTGAATTTTGTTGACTTTTTTAATTTCTTTTTTTTTTTGTACTATACTGGGCATATAGCAAGGCTGAAGGACATTGTAATCATTTTTTACAGGGTGAAAATTTAGGAAGATTGTGTATGAGAACCAATATAGTTACTTTATCCATTATTTTTGATTAAGACTTTTTTTTTTCTTTTTCTAAACAAATGCCATTTCCAGTTAATGCCTTTGGCCCTCCAGAATTTTCAGGGACCATAAAATTTTGTAGAAAAAGTTTTGCATTTACTATTGTAACCAGTTCAGCTTGGGATTGCTCTGAAGTGTTAGCTGCTTATAAAGTAAGTATAGTTGGCAGTATTTCCAGGCTGAGTTCCATGTTCAAACTTTTGCCTGAAATAATTTGTATGTGAATGTTAATGGAAATACATATAAGCAAAATAAAAGTTAAGGTGACCTCAAAAGGCACAATTACTTGGTTCTTAGTCTTTGTAAGGGCTCTGTGTTTGACTTGCCCCAACTGCCATTAAATGACAACAGATCACCTGAAGGTATGTTAATTTGATTTATTCACAAGAAGATAAGTTCTATAACTTACTGAAAATCTTTGGCTAAAATAAATTGCTTCAGCTTCTGGTTGGCATTGATTAGAATGTGAATAGTGAAGTGGCTATCCTAAACCTTGGTTTATCTCAACTCACACTATCATAGATTTCTGAGGCAAATATGGTTCTTATCTAGTGGTATTCGACTTGTATCCAGAATACTGTATTAATTAAAACATTATTATGTTCATTTTTGTATTCCTGTGCTTTTTTTTGTTCACGCATGTATCTTTAGTACAAATGTGTTGCTATTAAGAGTTTGTCTCTGACTTTTACAAATAAATTTTGAAGTTTTAGAACTTTTTGAAGGCACATTTTACTCTTTTGTGAGCCAATGATAAATACATTTCATAAAAAATTAACACAGATATAAAGTTGAATTTATATCTTCTTAATCCTTATGTCTAATATGCTACGAATAGCCTGCCCCTCAAAAAATATAGGAAATACTTTAGTTATTTAAATATAGGTCATATAAACTATTAGCTATATTTAGATAATATTTAGTCTACCTATAATTGGAAACATTTTAAATATCCACTTTTATAAATATGAAAGAATGGTTTAGTTTGGATCACATTTTGCCACTGGGAAATCTATTTATACTGACCACTTAGAACAAAAAAATGAATAACGAAAAGTTTATGGCATACGGTTTTGAGGGAAAATATGCAATACTTCTGTTTTGCAAGATAGTGTATTTAGTAATGTTTACTTTTCCTGTAATCAAAATTGCAGAAAAGAAAGAGGAAGAAAGGAAAGAAATATGTATACATAGGAATACAATATATTCAAATATATGTTCATGTGTATCATATATTAATGTGTATATGTTGTCCTAAAAAAGTAAGTATTTCTACTTACAGCAATAATCACCAAACTTCAGGAGTCTCATTACGATGTAAACCAATTAAATGTTTGGGTCTCATTCCTCTGTAAACCAAGTTATCTGTTTTACTTGTAGGACACTTTGTCATGCAAGTATACTCCCAATATCAAAACAGCTAACCTAGTAATATGGAAGCTGAAAAGCTAAAATGAAATGAAAGGTAATATGTGACACACATGATGTGTGTGAAATAACTCCCATCTACTTCAATATGTGACTTACATTCCATAGTTAGTCCTAGCTCTTAGTAAAATGCTGACATCAGCTAATTTAAAGTCTCATGTCTTTAAGTCCTTGGATAAATTTGAGCAATATCCAATCAAGTGCAATTACATAGTCTCACATATGCTTTATTTTACTGTAGCCATGGAGACACATAACAAAATTCACTGTCCTCAGAGAGCATATATTCTAATATAGACTCCTTGTAATACAGTGTCTTTGTCTTATCTAAGCAACTCTTTTAGATTCCTACTGAGATTTGTCACTAATTTCATTTGGATTTTTAGACTTCTGTGTTAAAAATAAAAGGCAATAAAATGACAATTTCCAGAGTTTAAAGATGTCTTGTGCGTATCTGTCTATATAAAATATAAAATACTAATTTGAGATTTAATTTATTAAACAATAAGATTCGTCAATTGTGATGCAAAAAATAAGAAATCACTATAGGTATCAATATAACAATATGATAATACACTTACAATTTTTCTTTTTGAGTATAAGAAGAATCAGTGCATATTGGGAAATGTTTGTGTGTGTGTGTGTACCTATACTGTGGCTTGAGCTCAAGGCTTGGGTTTTAGATCAGCTTTCAAATAGCTGGGCGATTCCTGGCTTTGGCGTATATCTGTACCATAATCCACTCCTTTACTATTCCTGTTTAAGCTGTGATGACAAGCCAGCACAACCACACCCAACATCATTCCACTGAAATGGAATGTCAAGGACTTTTTTACCTAGACTGGCCTGGAACTATGATTCTTCCAATCTCTAGCTATTGGTTAAGGAGGAATCTTGTGAACTTTTCCTCCCAGGCTGACCTGGAAATATGATAGTCCCATTTTCAGCCTCCAAAGTAGCTAGGATTACAGGTGTGAGCCATCAGTGCCCAGCTAAAATATTTAATCTTTAATTTCTACTAAAGAATTGTAATTGGTAAAAAAAAAAACACTTTAAATGTACTTCCAAATACTTTTACAAATTTTGTTCCACATTTATAAAGTCACTTTTTAAAATGGTAAGTCAATTTAAACTTTTTATATTAGAATCTTTATGCTTTTAATCTATAAATAACCTGTTGTCTACAGTAGTTGTAAAATTTGTCCATTGTGTCCTATTAATGTTTCTAACCAACAGAAATTCATTGCTAAAACCCTATAGAAAGTGTCAAAATCTATTAGTCAAGAAAAATAAGACATGTGCCATGCAGTATCAAGTAATATTTTTATAATATAACTTCTATGTATTCTTTAATGTCTTACTTCAGAAAACCAGTATCAGTTGAGAACTGAAACTCCACATCTGGTAGTTGTTTGACGTCTAGCTATTTTTACAAAAGCTTATTATTTCAGAACTGACTTTTAAACATTCTTTTTCCTACTGAGAAACCCCTACCATCTCATTACTTACTGAAACAAGAGTAGTTCTTTTCTACTCTGAAATGGTAATAGAGAACAAAGTAACAATCTATTGGGAATAGATTGTTCTTAATTTCTTTTCCTATGTATGTAATTTCCTTATTTTGCCCTTAATACTTGCTCACCTCTTCTTTTGTAGGTTCTTCATGCTGCAGCTTTGGCCAACAAAACATTGTCAGTTCACTGTGAGATAACAAAAATTGTAAGTTTCATATTCATGTCTAGGATCTTCATAGTTACTAGTCTTTTTTTGTGTGTGGACCACAAAATGAAGTTGATTTTTACAATCCACTCTTCAAATATAGTACAATATCTAGTGTCCTCACTGAGTCATATGTACACACGTGGTTCTTATGCTATATTGCCATGGAAATAAGTACAACATTAAAATCCTTTGCCATGGTTATTAAGCATTTAGCCTAAGCTCTTTAGGTGAATATTATTAATGTGTCTGTCACATTGGCTTTCTGTCAGTTGACATTAATAAGATAATGCTAAAATACCTTATAGACTTGTTTCCTCTATAATGATATACGGAGTATCAATTATCTACATTTAAGGAAAAATATGCATAGAAATGTTTTTAAATTATATCCAGCATATTTCATTTCTTTTTGTGTTCTTTTTTGTATAGTTTTTCATTTTGTTACTTCTCTCAAAACAATATATGCACATAGTGTAAGAAATCATATGAAGGTAAATGGTCATTATTAGTCACCTCTGATCATAAGGCAATAATTCCTGCTATACCCTCCACCTGTCCTTATTCTTCAACACTCCAACAGAATTACCTGGGTTTTAGCTATGTCTCCTGATAATTAATTTCATATGTCTAATAAAATGTTTAGATTACCAGTTTTGATCAATTTTAGACATGCTTAAAATGATTGTTTAGTTTTTGCAATTTCCATCTCAGACTTTCCTTCACCAAATGATTTTTTATGTAGTTAAAATCAGTAGAAGTTTCCATTTTTATGATCATATATAAATGCCTGTTTACCTCTGAACCAAATAGCGTACTATGGTAACTTACCTTCTCATTCAATTTTTCAACTTTTCTTAAGGTTAAAATTTGTATCTTTTAAGATTTATGTTTCATTTTTTCAAGACACATAGCAAGGGCCTATAAATCTTGTCAAGTGCTTATATTTGTCAATATATATATTTTTTTCTGAGTATAATCCTTTTAACTTTCTGTTCTCTGGCTCAAATCTGAACTTATTTCTCTGCAGGTCCAAAATATTGGCTTTCCTGGAATGTCTGTAGTGCCACTTTTCTGGCTAGGTCCTAACTTTGCTATAGTCTACATCCCATACCTTGCTTAAGCCATTGTTTAGCTTCAGCTTATCGATAACTCAAAATTCTTCTCAAGGAAAAAAAATACCTGAACAGCATATTTTTTAGATCTTGCATAATTAAAAGCAACCTCAAAAATCCCTCACAATAAATTGGAAATCTGGTATGCTGAGTACTTTGAAAATCACTTTCTCTCGAAGGCATCACTTTATGAATAAAAATAGCAGGACTACTTGGTCTTTCTATATTTCATGTGTTAGATTAAGAAGTGTAGTGCTTTTCTCAATCTTCTTAATAAACATAACATAAAGCAAAGAGACAATGTAGAGGAAAAAGCAACTTTTGTTTAAACCTAGAAAAAAGCAACTCTTGATTACAATAAAAGCAAAAAGGCTAAAGAAGAGAGACCTTGAACAAAATAAATAGAAGATTCATTCTTTTATACTTATACTGTTGCATTGATATTCTACCCTTCTATTAATCTTATTTTGCTTTTCATTACTAAGGCACTTTTACTGGTTTTGGAAATTATAATTTTAAGCATCCCCATTTTAGGTTTATAATTGCAGTATTTTCTTTTATCTGTCTGTAACTATTACAATTCTTAAAAAAAATGTTTCTTCTGCTCTTACATTGTCTCTGTTTCCTCCCAGACCCTCCATTTCTTACTGCTTATTTAGTCTGTCTTTTTTCCTGTTGAAACCTTATTTATGTGTGTAGTGATGCTTTGCATGCTTGTTCATATTGAAGAATAGCTAATGAAAACCTTGCGTAAGTGAGACTCGGCAACAGGCAATCTAAAGCAAAGGACAATCTTGGATGAATGCCAAAGTCCATTTTAAAAAATACTTTAAGAGTATTTTTTTAAGTTTAGAAGGGAATAATATGATAACAATGTAAATAATAGTCTAAATATTAACTGAGTGCTGGTGGCTGATGCCTATAATCTTAGCTACTCGGGAGGCTGATATATAAGGATTGTGCCAGTCTGAGCAGAAAAGTACATGAGACTCTTATCTCCAATTAACACCAAAAAGCCAGAAGTGGCTCAAAAGCACTAGCCTTGAACAAAACTGCTGAGGAACAGTGCATAGGCGCTGAGTGCAAGCCCTAGGAGTGGCCATCACACAGAGAAAATAGGTACTGACATTCTGAAAGTAGGATGGATGAAGGAGCTGTTATGGATTCGTATGTCGAAATTCAAACCTCCAGTACCTGAAAATGTGACCTCACTTGGAAACATTGGGAGTGCTGGACATACACAGCACATAGGGAGAAACCCATATCAATTCAAAGATACCAGAAGCAAAGAAGTACATGTAACTTGTTGTATGGATAATAGGGGCTGATTAAGGACATGACACTACTCAGCATAACAAGATAGTAATATCATAGTACATATTGCTAACCCAGGAAAAGATTAATCTTCAAAATTTCAAATGCAGCTCCTACTGAATCTACACCATCATAAACT